AAGCGGCGGTGAAGTCGGTGAAGTTCCACCTCACCCGGACGATCGGAGAGGATCTGCTCACTTTTGAGGAACTCACCACTTTGCTCGCTCAAATCGAGGCAGTGCTCAACTCACGACCACTGGAACCGCTCACGGATGATCCTGATGACTGTTCAGCCTTGACACCAGGGCATTTTCTCATCGGTCAGGCTCCCACGACTCTTCCAGAGCCATCTTTAGAGCAACTCAACGTCTCAAGGCTCTCTAGATGGCAGCTCATTCAGCAGAAGCTTCAAGGATTCTGGAAGAGGTGGTCCACGGGATATCTCCAACGTCTTCAAGCGATATCCAAGTGGCACCATCCGACTCATCAGATACGGATCGGCTCACTGGTTCTACTCACGGACGAGAGATTCCCGCCAGCGAAGTGGCCTCTCGCCCGAGTGACCGCTCTGCACCCAGGATCGGACGGACTCACCAGGGTAGTCACCATCAGGACTGCTCAGACGACGCTGACAAGGCCAATCGCCAAGCTCGTCCTCTTGCCCATCTCACCTTCAGGGGAATAGAACCAGGACAGCTCACCGGCTTCTCACCGTTGGACTTCGTCAACTTCGACGGATTTACGACCCTGACCAACCGACGGGGTTCAACGTGAGAATGACAGCAGCCAACGCAGAAGGGATTTACGACCCCCGACGTCTAGGATGCTGCCATGCCTAGCCAGCGCACCTTCCGGACGGTCTCACGGACTCACTCATGGGTGACAAGCTCCGACAGCTCACCAAAGAGCGTTTTGAATTTTGTTTTTTGTTTCAGCTCACCATGGCTCTACTCATTATGGTTGCGTCAACAACTTTACAGTTGCCGACGGCCGGGGAGAATGTTGGAAATCCTGTCAGCTGACAGGGCACTCACACATACACACGCGCGGCTCATCCATTCTCTCCCCACTCACGCACACCTGACGCGCTCACCTCAGATGACCGGGGGTTATTAATTCGGACACCTGAGGTGCCACGTCCTGGACAGCTCTTTATTACCTATTGATCTATATTTAAATTAGGTCATGTGACCACCGAATTAGGGCACGTGGCACCTGTAAGCCCGTGACTCTCTCTCATTCGTTTCCGGGATCTAGTTAAAGACACTTCTTTTATTGTACTGCTCATCTCTAGTGACTCGGATTAACTCATTGTGTCAGCTCAGTTATTATTAATTCAAGGAATTAGTCGGCTCATTATTTACGGTCTGCTCAGTGACTCTATTTATTATGACAGTGTAAATAACTATAAATATTGAACAATTATACGGTGTTTTGTGAAATCAAGTGCACGTGTCCGCACATTTTTTGACCCGCTCATTCACTCCCGGAAAGCCATTTCCCACCTGCCCATCCGCTCTCAATTACCACCGATCCAGGCATCTCATCAAACATCATCCTACCTCTCCATTTGTTTATCTCTCACTATTGGTCCATTATCATTTTGCTCTCGTTAATTTTATGAACGGATCGAGAAAATACAAAAATTGATGAATCAGCAATGAGTCCCGGAAGATTTTGTGAATGTCGATCAGCGAATAGAAAATACATATTGAATTTAGCAGTAATGTAGTTCTCCTGACTTATAGACTATGTAATTTATTTCGATAGTGATTGATTTCGCGAGAGAGGAGCGTATACTGAAATGTCTATTCATCGCTAAAAAATTTCTTAGCTATAGAAAATCCTCCGGAGGGTGTTAGATGCATTTACTTGAGGTAGTCTACTAGCCTCAGCCTCCCAACTTGACTACCCACTGCATCTCTCCGCTTCCTTGATTTTTTTTCAGAATGTCTGGTTTAGTTTAAAGAACATTAATTATCAAAATTGTGCAGTTATTGCTTAGGCGATAATGATATATCTCCAAAATGTGACGAGACTCGATCTTTTCAAACCTAGCAAATTGAGTGACCCGAAAAGAATTATCACCCAGAACAACAATTCATTAACTAGATCTGTTCGCAATTCAGGCGTAATTTCACGTGAACATTCGGTGTAATAATCTTTAGTAAATAACCATATAGCAACGACCTCTGATGCACTCTCTATTGCTTGTTGGGTAGTTTTCAATAATTATCGCGGAATCTAAGAGAAATAGCGAACATTTTGTTAGATCCTTTTTTGTAGAGCGGGTTTACCCCTCACGTACGACGTCCATATAACGCGGTTTGTCTCAAGGGCCGGGAGACTTACGATGCGTCAATTCCATTATTCAGTGAACGATGATTTAAAATCAGTCCAATGAAAAAAAATTGAAATAAAATGCATTGGCTGTATTGAACTTTGAAATACACTCCCTAAGAACTATTTTTCAGTAGTAATACCCCGAGAGCTTAAAAATGATCGAGTATTTCCCGATTTGTTTGTAGCAAACAAAATGAGTATGTCAAGTTTTGCAGGGTGAAAATTTTTTTTTCTGCATTTTCCTGATTTTCCTGCAAAACATAGCGCTCTTATTTGTTTGCAGGAAAGCATGAGGGAAATACTCGATTCATTTTGAAGCTCGAGGGATATTTGCCGGATTATTCCCCCAATCAGAATCTCGGCCGATGGAGGGTGGCATTTGATGTCAATATTAAGAATTAATAAATTATAATCAATCTGGGGAAAAGGTAAGAAGAATCACATGAAAATGCTGAAAGAAGTTGTATTTAATCTGGGAAAAACGGATACATTGCGCATGAAGAAAAAATTGGCAATTAAAAAAATCATTTCTCAATTCATATGAAGATTGTTACAATGAAAAACACAATTATTGTAAACGTTATTGCACGTCTTCACAATTTCGGATTTTGACGTGAATCTGTCGGTGTTCGTAATTAGTAGATCATGTGGTTCAATCTTCCTCATTTTCTTCAAAATGGATTCATGGTGTTCTTGGTCCAGTTGCAAGTAGGGCTTGACTGAATTAGCATTAGCATGTCCAGTGATTTTGATGATTTGCTACTCTCCAATCCCGGCCTTGGCGAGAGAAGAAATAACTTCTTCTGCAACCCTTCTAGTCTATTCTCATCCCAGATATTGATCATGGCACTGAGATCATCCTCACCCAAAGCAGCTGCACTTGTCGATCGTTTCTCGGAGATTTTCGTTTTGTATTCCTAGCATCTCTGGCAGACTGGAAGACAGGATTTTTAAAGGGATCGATTTCCTGCTTGAATTCCTTGAAATACTCATCTTGAAACATTTTGGCTGTCTGATTCCACATAGATTTTATAACATTTTCTTTGTAGTCATCCCCATTTGTCTTCCTCATATAAAATGCCCAGTCTTTCAAAATCTCGTTCAACTTTACCTTGGTAGTCGAAGCTTCGAAAACGTAGTTCCTCTCAGCACAAAATCCCGAAAATTGATTCCAAATTGATTTTTTGGTTTTCTCCGCGTTGTGTGGCACATTTCCCTTGATTTTTTTTGTTAATTCTCGCCAGAGATTCGTCCCCAAATCGACTCATTTTGACATTTGCATCCGTAAGTTCAAGTATAGGTTCACCACTGTCATTTCCATGAAGTTACATGTTTTTCGTTCCATTTTGTTTATTTTTCCCTAGCAACGTGCCGTGGTTTTACCAAATTTTACCGATTTAAAACCGTGTAGGGTGTACCACGTGACAACAAATGCCGCCCTCCAATTGGCCGAGATTCTGATTGGGGGAATAGTGCCTAGAATTTCCTAATTTTTTATATCAATTTCAATTTCAATTTGTTTGCCACCAATTGGTTGCCGTGATGTTCAAAAAAGGCTCAATTTATTTATAACAAACAAATTATTAACCAAATCGAAATTCAACTTCTGCCATTCGACAGAAGAATTATTAAAGTATTTTCAGTAAAAATTTTAAAATTTTTGGGGTAAATGTTATCGATAAACGAGATAATTCAATTTGATTGAATCGGTTCGATGTAAAATTTTCATCTACAATTTTTGATCATAGAAAACAATATTATAAATGCATTGAAAAAATAATTGAATAATTCACTGAAGAGACAATTCCATTGACTTTCCAAAGATCTTTTCCATATGTCAATATGTCTCTTAGAATTCGAGGAAATGATTTTTTACTGTTGACGAAAAGGGTCGATACCATGAATTGACCGCGGCCGATAGGACAAGTTTATGAGTCGATGCATGGTATCGACGCCATACGTGAGGGGTTAAGAGCTACAACAAAGGTCCGTACAAGAACTTAGCTATGCGTTTAGATGCGGAGATATTGCTAGAAAAATCAGCTAAGAACTGAATTGGATGGAATTGTTTTATTGCTTCGCTACTGAATTTTTGTTTTCCACTTTAAAATTTTTTTGTGATCTCCTTGAAACTTGGAAAATGATTTCAAAAAATATCACAACGATTAAACGTGTCCAAGTAAAGAAAAAAAATTATTTCCTTCTCTTTTTGGGCTATAATGAATATCTTGATGGTTGGCGACATTTAATGATTTTATGTCACACGGCGATAAAAGCATTATCTGGCGAATGTGATTATAATCCTCGCATTCGGCTCGGATTATAAAGCCACATTCGCCAGATAATCCTTTTATCGCTTGATGACATAATATAATATGTTCATCTCGAAGCTCGTAAAAAATGCATTTTTTTTAATCATCATTTTTGAACGTATAGAACCGGAGAAATAAGGTGTTTTTATCAGGCAAGAAAATCTAATTGCAGAAGGAGATTGAGCGATACAAAAATTCTGAAAAAAATCTAGAATACTTTTTTCGAGTCACAGAATGCGCTGCAAAATTGGTGAGATATTCCGAAAAATCAAGAAAAATGACTGTCTGGTTTGACCGAGAATGCCCCATAAGTAAATTGGCGCAAATCAGTAATTAAAATTATGTTCTGACTGTGGCTAGTAAAATACCTTGAGGGAAAATTATATTTGAGTTATGTCGTACCACCGATTTAATATTAATTTCTTAGTCAATTATAAAAGCTTATTGGACTACTAAACGCAAGTAATTGAGCCCTTTTTCAGGCGCATTTTCAGGAAATGTTTCCAAACAACGTACTGCTTCTTGGATTATCCACCGAGGAACGTGCCGATATTACAAGAATGGGAAAACAGTAAACAGGACGGTGAAAGGACAACCGTTCCAGTTCACCACTTTGTACAACATGTTGCGGCACTGCATGCCGATGGGGATATTGGATTCAGCAAAGAATTTGAGTTATTCCCGAAGGAGACTGAGCTCTATTTGGCGGATAGTTCTAAGTCGGCGGAGAACCAAACAAAGAATCGTTATGGAAATATTATTGCATGTATGTATCATTATTTTCAATTTGTGGGGGAGGAAATTTGTGAAGCAATATTGTTACAATGAGTAGAGAGAAATTTATATTGGTATCGAATTTCATTGAGCAATTTTTGGGAAAAAAACATCACCCTTTTTGTTCTTAACGAAATTTCAGAAGAATTTTTCATCGAAAAATATCTCCTGATAAATTTTGTTGCTTCCGTAAAATGCGGTTCAACAAAATACGCAAGGGTTGCGGCTGGATGTTTAAAATCTGGCCAAAATACAGTCAACTTGGTCATTCATCCCCCTCGGCAATTATCGATAGTTATCGGCACTCATCGGACATGGACGAGGCGGTCGTCCGTGTCGCAATCGTCAGTACACCATTGAACCTTATCTCGGACAGTTACCGTGACAGTTATCGGGACAATTATCGGGACGATTATCGGAACGTTATCGTAATATCATCTATTTGTTTTGTGCCAATACAGTCCACTCGGGAAATACATCTATTTATTCGTTGTTGTAAACTAACGTTTCAAGTGAAATCTTCGTGAGAATTGAACCGCAAATCATCCGAATTCACCTCTTTTATTATTATTGTGCACCCAACCCAAAATCACCTCTCCTCCCGACCACCCAACTCATCAAATCTTGAGTAGATTTTGAACATTGGTCCTTCGAGCCGGATCGGGAGTGAATTAGTGTGGAAAAGTGCAGTGAATGGGTGCAACGGACTCTGGAAAAAAAAAGATCAGTGCAACACGTGGGGAACCACACCGTAGAAGCCCCTCGCTACGGGGTTCACACCTCAACGCGCAAGGACAGCGTAGTGAGAGCATCATCAACGATACTTCAACGATACATCAGCGCCACGTCAGGTGGTAACTCATCGGCACTCATCATCGCTCGTCGGTAACTCAACGACAACCATCGGAACAGAGGTCGGTAACCCATCGACAATCATCATCGTCAGTCGGTGACCCATCGGCCCGTGATTGATCATCAGAGCTACAAGACAGCCATGAAGGATCTGGGCCGCATCAAGGAAAGCATCAAGGAAAAACCCGAGGGTAACTCATCCAGCGGAAAATCCGCGTTCACCAACCTGGAAAGGCTGAATGTACCGGATTTCAACGGGAAATAATCGGACTAGAAGAAATTCCACGATGCCTTCGTCTCCCTCGTCCACAACAAGCCGCTGGACGAGATGGAGAAGATGATGAGGCTGATGAAGGCACTCAAGGGTTCAGCAGCAAATCTAATATCTAACATCGGGGAAGAGACATCAAATTACAAGGCTGCTTGGGACAAGTTGGTCGCTCGATACGACAATCCGAGACTCATCATGGCAGCCCATCTAAATCGAGTCCTCAACCTGAAGGAGCTCAAGGAGAAGTCATCGTTGGGACTTCTCCTCATCATCGACACCGTTACGGAGGCATTAACGGCCATGAAGAATCTCGGGGCCCCAACGGAACACTGGAACATCATCATCTCGCACCTCATCAGAAGGGTCATCGATCCAAAGACCCGAGAAGACTGGGAGGTTCATCTGGGAGACTCAACACAACCGCCGGGGCTTAAGGACTTCATAGAATTCCTCAAAGTTAGGGCAAGGGCTCTGGAAAATGTGGAAAGATACGAGGATCGGAGACACTCAACTCAGCGAAATTTGAAGGCGAAGTCAACGGCCAGGATTCATCAGGCTTTTCCTTCCAACAGACAGAGGGAAAAATCATCGGTGTCACATGCGGGGACAAGCATCAAGGAGTGCAAGCTTTGCAAGGGACCTCACTGGTTGAGAGCCGAATGTCCCACGTTCTGGGGCTTGAGGCCCCATGAAAGGAAACAGAGCCTCTTCGACAACGATCTTTGCTTCAACTGTTTGGGACCTCATCGAGCACATAAATGTAAGTCACACCACAGATTCAGATCGTGCAATGGACTGCATTACACATTGATCCACAATGCTGAGTTGACAAAAGGTCAGCAGACAGTAGCACCGGGTGAATCAACCACACCAGAAAGCACAAGCGGTTAAGTATCAATTTATTATTACAACAAGTTGAATTGAGCTTAACCATTGTGTGTATTGGCAGGAGACATCAGGAACATCATCATACAGCAGTCAATCATCGCGACGAATCCTGTCAATAAATCATCGAGTCCATCATCACGCCAAGACACAGCATCACTACTTCGATCATCTCCTTGGGTCACTCATCGAGACGAAGCGGTCAACGAGCTCTAACAATCAGCTGAAAGATCATCGACAATCAGAGGAACACCATCTTGGAGATGAGCGACAATCAGGAAAATACCACGTCGGACATTCTCGCCATATGGATACATGGCACGTTGGAGATCAACGGCAATCAGAGAAATACCAGGACAATCATCAAGGTCATCAAGTACAATCAGAGCCACACCAGGCTAACTCGATGAACTTCAGCAACGTACTGGAGATACAGGGAACTCAGCAGACAGCAACTCATCTGGTAGTCTTGGCGACGGCAAGGGTCAGCGTACTCAATCATCATGGACAATCAACGCCAGCTAGGATCCTCATCGATCAGGGCTCTGAAATATCACTAGTTTCAGAGCGCTTGGTAAATCAACTACACTTGGAAAGACGGTCATCATCGGCATCGGAGAAACATCATCAGGGAGCACACGTGGTGTCGTGAAACCCGCCTTTCAACCGAGACACAATGCCGCTGTGCAAATCATCGTAGAGGCCCACATCCTGAGCACGCTGACGGTGAAAATACCGCCATTTACTTGCGAATCAACGATTCCTCTTCAACTACGGGAACTTCAACTGGTAGATTCTCACTTCTGAAGACCTGGAGCAATTGACATAATCATCGGAGCTGATACTTATAGAAGAATCAACGGGGAGAAAATCATTAGGTTTAAAGAAACGAAACTCATCGCTCAGCAAACTACATTTGGCTGGGTTGTATCGGGCCCAGTTTTCTGCATGAACTGCTCAGAAAAATTATCTTTAAAGATAACAACGCAAACGGCTAATCCACAATTACTAGAACTCCTGAAGAAATTTTTGGGTCCAGGAGGAATTACCGGATACACCATCATCATCATCAGTTTTAAGCAAAGCTAAATCAGAATGCGAGCAGCATCTCATCGAAGCTCATCAGGAGTATCATTGAATGACATTGAATGACAGCTCTGACGTATTCATCTGGCTGCGTCGACATCGTTTGGTATTTGGAACGGATATTGTGGAAATGTTTCGCCAAATCCGTGTTCTTCAAGACGACTGAGACTATCAACGAATCTTTTGGAACGACAACGACGGTCAACTCATCGAATACCAACTGACGACAGTCACTTACGGTACCAGCTGCGCACCTTGGCTTTCTCTACGGGTGCTGAAGCAGTTGGCCATCGATGAAGATCATCAATTTCCTTTGGCCTTACCGACATTCATCAAGGGAAGATATGTCGACGACATATACGGAGGTGCAGAAACAGAACATCAACTGGAGGAAATCATCAAGCAACTAATCGATCTCTGCATGGCGGGCGGCACGCCATTGCAGAAGTGGTGCTGTAATGTACCAAAAGTACTGGAACGACTCGGATTATCTCCAATCATCAAAGTCGAGGAATCAACAGTGAAAGANGGGTGCTGAAGCAGTTGGCCATCGATGAAGATCATCAATTTCCTTTGGCCTTACCGACATTCATCAAGGGAAGATATGTCGACGACATATACGGAGGTGCAGAAACAGAACATCAACTGGAGGAAATCATCAAGCAACTAATCGATCTCTGCATGGCGGGCGGCACGCCATTGCAGAAGTGGTGCTGTAATGTACCAAAAGTACTGGAACGACTCGGATTATTATCAGGATCATCTCCAATCATCAAATTCGAGGAATCAACAGTGAAAGTGTTGGGACTTTGCTGGCAACCCAATTCTGACACTTTTCACTACAAGGCAAAGAACTTCAACGGGGACACCATCACCAAGCGCGTAATTTTGTCCGAAATCAACGTTAGATCCGGAGGAGAAAAATCCAATAATTCTCCCTCGTCATTCACCACTCTTATCGCTCATCATCGCAGACGCTCATCACCGGAGTTTCCATAGGGGAACTCAACTCACATTGGCACATATTCGGCAGAGATATTGGATCATCGGTGGGCGAGCTCCAGTACGCTCACACATCATCAAGTGCGTGACTTGCGCACGTCAGCGGGGATTGAGAGCTCAACAGCTGATGGGACAGCTGCCGGCACGACGAGTGACACCATCAAGAGTCTTTCTTCACTCAGGAGTAGACTTTGCAGGCCCAATCAACATCTTGAGATGGAGAGGATCAGGAGCAAACAAGACAATGTATAAGGCGTACATCTGTCTGTTTGTTTGTTTCGCAACATCGGCTCTTCATCTGGAACTGGTAACGGATCTAACAGTGTAGGGGTTCATCGCAGCATACAGGCGCTTCACTTTAAGAAGGGGAATTTCTGCAACCCTGACCAGTGACAGGGGGATCAATTTCATTGGGGCAAAGAAAGAACTAAAGAAACTCTTCGACCACTCATCAAGCGAATCGGCTATTCTCAGGGATCAGCTAGCATCAGACGGAACTACTTGGAAATTCGACCCTCCCTACTCGCCACACATGGGAGGCAAATGGGAAGCTGCGGTAAAATCATCGAAATATCATCTCAGATGAATCATTGGAACCTCGACCTTGACGTACGAGGAATTTCCGACTCTTCTTACTCAGGTCGAGGCTATACTCAACTCAAGGCCACTCTGCCCACTAACCAATGACCCACAAGACACATAGGCCTTGATACCAGGACATTTCATCATCGGAGAAGCACTCACAACAATTCCGGAACCATCACTACAGCAAATCAACACGACGAGACTCAACAGGTGGCAAATCATCTCCCAGAAAATTCAAAATTTCTGGGAACATTGGGCACGAGAGTGCATTCATCGATATCAGCAAATCTACAGGTGGAAACAGCCAACGA